CACTTCTGCTGCTGCCACAATTAAAAACACAGAGAGGCAGCAAACTAAATATATGCAACAACACAGGCCTAATAACTGCGCACTAGATTTTCAAATCTGACGTACTGTAAGGTCAATGTATTTTTAGAAGTCGGGGGAAAAAAACATACAGACAACTCTTTATCAATATGTATCTTACCATTTGAATAATTTAATATCAGGAGGACATTTAAAAATGAAATGCCCGACCGCGTAATGATCCTGGCTGGAGGATTAGACTGAAAATCAGAGCGCGCTGAAGCAATTTTACATCTTAATATTCCAAACCCTGCACACCAAGCCTGAGTCGAGAGATATGACGAGTGCAATACCTGTGCTTCCACATTTAAATAAAAGCAAGGGAAGCTGGGATTTGGGTGGTTTAGTTACTTAAGAGATAATGTTCCCAGCTCGCAAGTAAATAACGCCCTTGAGGGGTGAAGCAGTCCCCCAAATCACTTATTAGGGAAAAAAACGGTCAATCGCCCCTGGCTTCCATTATTATGTTGGCTGCCCAACAACGGGTGCAACCTTTGATCTGTTTAGGTTGGTGAGCATTTGCATTTCATAATGAGATCAAAGAAGAAGGTCCGGACACTCCACAAGTGCCAACAGCGTTTTTAAACAGGGCAAGGCTCAAACTCAGCAACCGCATTTATCCATTAGCGCAGGCCGAAACAGCTTTGGAGCATCAACGGCTACGGCATTTGTGATGAATTAAGCATTTGCACACTTTTTCGCCTGCATGCAGGTGTGGAAACAGGAGAATATCATGCCGGTAGCAATGGAAGAGATTCAAGAACAAACATTTCAAGCATATTTAAACTGGTTAGGATGCTTGGAATTTCCGGCCGCGCTTCAGACGAGCCGTCTCCAGCACAATGAGATTCATACGGTAGGTTTGAAAGTGGGTAGAGCGATGACCTGAAAAGTCACCCGGCCTTCCCGAAGCACTGTTGGTAAATCATCAGGGAGCAATTAGACGAGAAAGTGCCAGAACCACATTGTGTATTCTGAGGAGCAGCTGCCGTGGCAAAGCCATCATAAGCAGGCCGCGCTGTCACATCTGTTAGCGCCGCACGTTTTCTGAGTGCCTGATCAGATTATGGTCTGCTCTGTGGCCGGATTACAAACCTGTTGTATAAACAGAGATTGAAAATTCTTGGAGGATAACAAGAGCTTTCGCGTGGCTCAGGTCCTCCATAATCCTCTAACATCCATACATTTAATGATTTTAAACTGAGGTTTAGCCTGGTTGCACTCCGCTACAAGCTTCTATTTAAGTGCTCTGAGGTCAAACGGGATGAGGATGCTGGAACGCACAGATCAGGTGGGTTGCGATGGCTTTCGCTTCACCAGAAGCATCGGTGTCAAATTCATAAATTCAGAAGGTGACCGGGTGCTAAGCATTTTGACAGCATTAAACATCTCATCAGTGACAAGTGGGTTTGACTGGGAACAGTGAGCCTCTCAAACCAATAGACGGCAAATTAATCTCATTTGCTCTTTCACTCTTTTCACTGAGGTATCTTGAACGCAGATAACTTGGGATTATGAGAACTGGACAAAGACGAGTGTATTATGTAAGGGCTTTCAAAAGGGATGGAGGATGATTTCTTTTGGTGACAGTCAAAGCAATATCTTGAATCTGTGTAGCAGCTACATAACTGAACACCACCCTGCTGTTCCGAGGCAGTAATACTGGATTGTTTGATACAAATTATATACAAGAATAAAGTAAGTTACAAAAAAACACTACACTATGGATTTCAAAACTACTTTGGTCGATACAATATATATATATGTTGTTCTCAGTCTGTTTAAAGTGAATGTAAACAGGTGTGATAAAATTAAATTAAAGGTTTATAAATTGAAGCCAATAACTAAAACACCCCTTTGCACACCTGAAAGGCTGCTGGTAGCCATTAGTACAAACACTACCGTTCAAAAGTTTGAGGTCGGAATTAATTTTTACATTTTTTCGAAAGAAGTCTCATATGCTCACCAAGGTTACATTTATTTGATAAAAAATACAGTAATATTATGAAATACTAAAAAATATATATATAATTTTTTATGCAAAGACTTTTTATTTTAATATATTTTAAAATGTAATTTTAAAAAGTGTGATGTTAAAGCTGAATTTTCAGCACCCATTAACCCAGTCTTCAGTGTCACACAATCCTTCAGAAAACATTCTAATATGCTGATTTGGCACCCAATAAACATAACTGTTATTATCAAGCTGTTAATATGCGATACATTTTCAAATGGCCATTTATTTGAATTATAAATCTTTTGTAATATTAAAAATGTCTAGTGTCACTTGATCAATGTGATGTGTTCTTGAGGAATAAAAGAAAAAAATTATTTCTTTAAAAAAAAAAAAACAAGTAAAATCATAATTACCCCCAACCTTTTAACCAGTAGTGTATAGGAATAGAAGTCCCACACACTACGATAGCTTATAAAAATCCAAAGAGTCCCCTTACAAAGCCAATGACAGTGTGAAAAAAGAAAAGTTACTTTAAAAGGGAAATAATTGTTCAATTCCACATCGTGGTGAGTTATATTATATAGATTAATTTAAAGAAAAAAATAAAAATAGCTAGGCGTGGGGGGGACATGAGCGGTTAGTAAAATTCTGCATTTCACCAGCCACTGTGGCTTGTCGGCAAAAAAAGTTAATTTCTAACCCTGGCGACAACCCTACTCTACAGTAACAGGTTTCATAATGCAGAGACAGAATGTGCTAAAATTCATCTCAAGCTGCATATCTATCTCCCCTAATACTGTATTAATATTTTTTGACCTTGATGAATTATCTATTCTTACTGACAGCACTTATTGATATTTCTTAAAAGCGTTGGCTAATGGAGTTCTATTGAGATGACTAAATGAGTTGCCGCCGCCTGGATTAGCCTGGTCTCATCTCTCTGGCACAGCTAGAATTATCATAGAGAACAGACGTGTGCGTGCGCTGGGTCGTAAATTCCTGCTGCCGACATCTCAGGGGGGGTGTGGAGAGATGGAGGGCGATGACTGCACACAGACCTACATTCACCCCAGCCACGCTTGGCATATGTGCAAATGCACAAATATAGCAGCGCGCACTTCAGAGACAAAGGATCTCTCTAAAATAATAGTCGATGGCGGTCGGAGTGAGATTCACGCTCTTTCATCTATTAAAAGAAACACTTGTATCGCTGTTATACAATTCTTAACACCAGCTCCATAGATCTGTTTTCCCATCAGTGCATGCTCTTCCGCCTATGAGATGCTTCTGTGCTGCGATATCCTGAAAGCCATTTTCCACATCACACAGGCATAGTGCCTCAGCCTGTCTCGCATCTAAATGCAAGCACTTTCACAGACTGACCAGCATGCCTTTGAGTTCAGCTATATCTTCAACTTAAATTTATGTAAATAAAAAAGCAATAGAACTGTATCCAATTATCTAACTTTTCATTACTCTGCTTAAACCAACACTAACACACTACAGAATGCATATTTGGCCCAGTGTAAACTGACATACAGCTAGATCCCCAAAATAATAGCTGTAATAATGCATGATATAGAAATGGAACGTGGCAATTAGCAGCCATCATTGAGAACAGTGGTGGGTCGCCTCTTTCCACGAGGCTTTTGAAAAAAGGCTACATTCCAGCAAAATGGAAAGCCTACTCACGGTAAACGTGTCAGGGCAGCAACCTTGTACAGCGATTTCAGTAAATTCAGTGAAAAACGCAGAAATCCATTTATGTCATCTGTCCACCGTGTAAAATGTGTACGTGGGGGGGGGGTGCCAAGAAAAAAAAGCAATTTAACTTGGAGCCATCTTCCCAGGTACCACGGACAAAGTGTGAATAAAAAGGTTCCTTTTAAATGAGTAAAAGCACCACGTTGACCCTCAAACTCACCTCATATCTGCAAATACAAATCTTTTCAGCGGAAATAGCATTACGCTTCTGAAGGGAAGAAAACTTTAGGTAATAGGATTGATAAACATGCAAAAACGCTCCTGCTCTATAATCCAGACAACAATGGGGTGGAAGTGTAGAGAGCCACATGTTTGATTTGTTATTTTGATTATAGTTATCAAATAAAACCTGCATCTATAAACATATTTTAAGATGATTTTTAAACTTACAAAATCATGTGTTGTTCTCATATCTACACTGACATAAATATCCGTTTTACAGCACAGCAAAAGAGGGTGGTGGGTGTGAAAATATGCTCACCAACAGATAGACACACACGCACGCACGCACGCACGCACAGGGTCACGTCTCGCACGGATATGAACCACATACATCTTGTCTGCCTGCAATAAAGCTGTGCTACCGATTCTATTGCCAATAAATGTCAACTGATTGGAAAGCTCATTCTAATATCAATTTCCATCTCCGCTTTTTAAAAGGCAATCAGCACGGCTTCATCTCTGTATATCATATGCTCCTTGAGATGGTGACACAGCAATGGCTCTCTCCAACATAATGGACTTCTATCAAGGCATCTGGCATGAATAATACAAGCCATGAAAGGCAGTTTTTTTCCCTCATCTATGGCCTGCGTGGCTGGATCTGGCTGGGTGAATATCAACACACTTCCTTCTCACACTTGTGTCTGCAAAAAGAGTCTTTATTTTCTTGTGTCTAGAGAGACAAGATACTGTGTCAAATATTAATGGTCATAAACAGATCTGAATGGTGCTTTGCAAAATAGCAGCGTGGCTGTTTCTTTGATATTTTCGCAACATTCCTTGGCGAGGAAAGGAAGAAAAAAAAGCCTTGACAGCATAAGAAATGAGAATAATTTCACACATTAACCTTGGCAGTCTCCTCTGACTAAATTCAGGGCTGATTCGGTACACTGATTGAATTTAAGTGGAGGGACGTCACTCGTGTGCATGCAAATGTCTCTGACGGGCAGAAAGCAAATAATGACAAATTAACTGACGCTTACAGCGCATCGCCTCTTACCTTCCACCCGCTGCCGGCTTCCCTGTAATAGGGGAAATTGTCACAGATCCACTGGTAGATCTCGCTCAGTGTCATTTTCTTCTTTGGCGAGCTGTTGATGGCGAACGTGATGAGGCTGGCGTAGCTGTACGGTGGTTTGCCGTCCTTGTGCTGCTGCACCTCTTCCTGGTCCAGTGTGGTGTTGGGGTCCAGCAGAGCACTCTTCTTAGCCATGCCCGGCCCGTGAGTGCTCTGGGCATCCGATTTCTGAATGGCCGCTCGCATGGTCAGCTGTGGCAGCCAGTCCATGGAGGTCAAGCTGCTCTCCAGCTCCGACGTCATGGTGGCAGGTCGAGTGGCGGCAACGGCGGCGGCGAAGGAGGGGTGATGATCCGGTGCGGCGAGAATGCAGGGGCTCCCTCAGATCACGGTTTTTGTCGGCGTCACTCAAAAACAAAACCTGCGGAGAAGAGCGAGAGAGGGGATCATTATATTGCCCGACACTGTCAGGATATGAGCGATCACTTCTGAAGCGTGCCGACACTTCAACAGTTAGAACCACTCCAGCTGGAACCAATGTCATTTTAATTAGCACATTCAAACAGGCAGCGTTTCTCTTTGGAGAGAAGCTCCAGAACAGACACTGATATGCAGACAAAAAAAAAAGTAAAAAAAAAACAAAAAACACTGAGCTGCACAGACTGGCCAAGCCGTCTGGCCCACCTCCTACCTCCGGCCTGCACCCTGCAGCTGACTCACACAACTGTAATCTGAGCCGCAAACTGAGTAAATGCTGCGGAATTGTTTTCACAACTGCCAGCCAAATGGGGGAACGGTTCACAAAGAATTCCAATTCTCCTAAGGGTAGCATAACCCTTTCTTTCTCCCTCTACCCTTCCCCCTCTCCATGTATCTCCGTTGTAAACAGGCCTCGGTGTCGTCGTCATGCGGCATGGTCTCTTATTCCTGTCTGCGGCTGCACCCTACACCCAACAAACAACGTTGTGTTTTAGGCACGCTGCCCTCTCTGGCTTAAAATAGTAGCAAAAGCGTAAGGCCCGTCCCGTCACATAGGTACATGGTCAGGCGGCATAATCCATCTGCACTTTGCATAGAACGTCTTATCGTGAAAATGACAACACATCTGGAAGGCACCAGGGGAGGGAATATCCCACATATTATTCAGACGAACCTCGGTTTAAAAATACCTCCCCTGTTCTCTCGGGAACCTCATTGAAATTCATCTAGAATGGCAGAAAGCGAGCACGAGCCTCTGAAATCTGATGAATGAGATGTCTGTGAGGCCAGTGCTATGACAGACACTCTTTTTTTTAATTATTCGGTCATTACCATAAAGGTGAGTCATGACCCTCTAATTTAAAAGATTTTTTCCAGCGCAAGGATGAGACACTCTGATCCAGCTGTATGAAGTGCAAACTTAAAATTCTAATTTAGCATCCTCGCCATTCACGTGCAGGAAATGAGCGCCTTTGGGCATTGCTAATTAAATTAAACCAAATCTATGCGCAGTGGACTCCTCAATTTCTCATGCATCTGATCTGATTTTCACATAGATTGCAGAAATAAACTGCACTGACAAACTGAAACCTCTGCATGTTGCAACTATCAGGCAACCACCCCAAAAGCAATGCCAGGCAGACAGCAGCAAAATAAATGTGAAAAGTAAGGCAACCATCCATCCATGTACTGATAATATAAATAGCCTGAACATGCTTTTGGATAAAACTGTCTACCAAATGCATAAATGTAAATGAAAGGTTAGCCAGTGTCTGAAGGTTTTCAGAGTCACAATATCAACACTGATATCAAAAGTCTCTACAAAAGGGTAGATGGCATTAATTAATATTCTGTGGTGACACAGTAATATCACCTAAAATTATTTTAAACAGAATTTTACTTATTTTTTCATAACGAATGCAACTTTTATGACTTCAATTTATACTACCTGAGAACCATTTAAAATGAAATAGTGAAAGCAAAAACATGGTGACAAATGGTAGTATTTTTATTTTTTTATTATAAAAAAAAACATTAAATTCAAAATACATTTTAACCCAAACACTTGACGTTGATTCAGACAAAAAAAAAAATCAGCTCATGGATATGTTGGATAACAACAGGAGAATTTGCACACTTTGCCCTCATCAAATATGAGCATCTATGCATTTGAAAGAATAAAGACTACACAAGAATCACCAAAGCTAACTAACTGTAGCAGGTAAAACTGTGGGCAGCAGAGTTGGAATCACTCCGAAAAACTTTGAAATATTGATCAAAATAAAGGAGTTGGATATCAAAAACAAAAGCATCAGATAAAGCAGCAACAAAATAACTGATGCAAAGTTCAAAACTTTCATATCAAGTTTCATCTAAAAAAAAGTCTGATTTTGATGCAACGATGCTAATATACTTCAGGGTGAACTTTTAAAACACTTATAATAGTTCTTAATAGCAAAACAGCTGATTAAATGTTCATTTGGACTTGGGATAAATATTTTATTATTCGTGAGGCTGTTCATGCCAAATGTGCATACTGCACAATGTATTTTAAGGTTTTGACTAATAAACTAATACAGTACAAAAATGGCAAATGATGCACACTGAATGAGGCATTCTGTGAACTTAATATTCACATCACCATCCCACAAACCACAGAAGTATCCATGCAAAAATTCTGAATGATGAAATCTACAGATAAAGGTTCAAGTCTTAAGCATCACCTACTTGCCACAGGGCTGTTGCCATGCTGACTCCATGCACATCACCCAGTAATGCACTGCTCTCAGGAGCACTGCTGTGGTAATTAGCACACCTCTGCAGTGCCAGGCAGTAAAATGCAGTCTGCATCTCCACTCATTAACAGTGGCACCTGTATAGACGACTCCGTTACAGACCCGCGCTGCAGAGGAGCATAAAAAGGGATATGGCTGGTGGCCATTACGCACACATTCAGTCAGGCAGTTCACTCTACTAAAGTCAGTAACTCCCTGGGAACTGATTTCAACAAATGCATGTCATTGCTTTGAATTAAAAGAATTCTTCTGAAAACAATTAGTTTGAGCCAAAATGATATACCATTTGATACTAGAGCTGCAGAATATAAATATTTTTACGATGACAATTCTGCATTGACGCATAAACACAAAATTAAATAGGCCTATCATATGTGTGTACTGTTTTGTTGTAAATAAAGTAGGCTACTCTTATTATATATTTAAAAAGTTGCATATGTCCTTAGGAAGCAAAGCACTTGTGACTGATGTTTTGGTTTTTACTGAGGGTACTGCAGGACGTGCTTAATGTTAAACAGTTATTAAGAACAATAAGCCACAAAAAAGATCTCAATGCATTACTTGCACTGCCTGATGCACTTGAAGTGCAAATGCACAGAAAGCCGCCTCTCTCAGACAGCATGTGATCCTTCAGTTCTCTTTAGTGGCATATTGTGCTTGAACAGTCAGACAGACAAATAATTATTTCAAAATATCTGTCTAGGTAAGTATTCAGGTAAGCACAATTGGTTATGTCTTAAGTGAACAGAAACAGTTGAGGGAAAAATCTGATGCAGTGTTTCCCACAGACTTACACTCTATTTGTGGCAGCACTTCCCCCGGGGGAAATATAGGATATAAAACAGCTGACGGGCTGACTGATTGAAAATGCAAATTCATTCTCTGCCAGCAGGAGGCGCTTCAGGAGCTGCAGAAACAGCGGTTTCCCCGGTAACAGCTGTAAACAAAGCAGGGATGCGCTCATAAATGCTGCTTTATCAGGCATTATAGGAAAGATTAAATGAAAATGACATCGAAACTTTTCTAAAGACAGTCAGTTCCCTTCAAAATACATTCATATTAAAAAACACCCGTGCCGCATTTGGACTTTGAAACGTGCAGTGCTCATGTTTATTCAACAAAGTCAAAGCCTTTTGGAAAATCTATTTGTGGCGGTCAGTTTTGTTATTGTGGTGGGCCGCCACAAATAAACCAATAGGGATGTAACGATTCACTCAACTCACGATTCGATTCGATTCACGATTTATTTATTTTTTTTACAAAATGAGATTTAAGACAAATTATAAATTAAATGTGTCCTTTTATTATTGCTTGGACAAAATGCTGCACATTTATTTGTCAAATTGAAATATAACTCTATAATAATATACTAATATAGCACTTGCATATTATTGCTCTTTTGTTGGTTTTGATTGCTTCTATTGTCCTCAAGTCGCTTTGGATAAAAGTGTCTGCTAAATGACAAAATTTAAATATAATATAAATGTAAATAACAAAACTAAATAGAAATTTTAAAACAAGCCCCAAATCAAATAAATAAGTAACACAAATAAAATAAATCTCTTCATATAAACAAAAGGCTTTGTCTGTGCTCTTTCCATTTAAAATTATAGGCAACCTGCATTTTAATCATGATCCAAACAAAGATGCTGCATACATGCAACATGAGCAGTTTTTAATCTAAATTACATTGTAT